AGGAATAGCCAGGGACTCACGCTCAGCAGTATTATGAACAGGAAGTAAATGTTCGCAAAGCTATGGAACTGGTACCACATATTCTTCGGCAAGAAACTGAGAGGGGTGTACTTGGCCGTACGGATCTTGTTGCGACCAAAATCAACCTTCGAGTTGCCGTTTTCGTCTCGTGTGTGCGGTGGAGGCTGCACGTTGACGTATATCAAACGGCTTTCAGCATCGTCCGACCCTTTCGAAGGCGCACTGCCGTTGGGAAGGCTACTGGTATTCGATTCTCGCTTCCCATCCTTGGATGTCTTCCTCTGGTGAAGTTTGTCGATTATCGACGTTCGCTTTTTCGAGCCATGAATGCCAGGACGACGTTGCGTGGCCCATCGCATCCGCCTCGCCGGCTTGGACACAACCGACTCGTCCTCGCTTCCAAACTGAACCACGGCCATGACGTTCCGTTCAGCTGCTTGGAAGTATCATAGGGTAGAGGCACTAAACGAGGGTTTTGGGTCGATTTAAGATTGGCAGCAGCTGGTAACAGGTACAAGGGTTAGTTTGGACGGATGCGCAGGATGGGGACGAAATACGGCCACTTCGCCCGCCGGATGAGCCGGGAACTGACGGGAAAATGAAGGAAAACAAAGGAAACGAGCTGCAGCCGCGACATGTCGCTGGGACGCTTCCGCAGGATGCCTGGATGTCTTGGGCTCGGACAGGGGAGTTCAGGAGAATACCAGCGGGCAGAACAGCATGCCGGGGGGGGGGAAATCGTCGAGCCCGAGGAGCAGGTGAGGACAGTCACGAAGACGCAGAGAACAGGACAGCAAACCAAGAGGGCGTCGTCGTCGGCGTCGTGGAGCTGCTGAGAGAGAGCGGGCTCGCCGGAGTTCGAGACGGGAATGGTGTAGCCAAGGAACAACAGTAATCAGCCTCCGACGGCCGAGCTGGCACGCAAGAATGAGCCGCTTAGTTACTTTTCACGCGCCAGAAAGTTGGTTACTCCGTGCGTTACTCCGTGCAGGGTATATAAGTACATCGGTCTTACGGGCTTACTCGTAGTTGGCCCGATGTTGAGACTTAATCTACCTTCGAGTTTACTACTTAGCGCCCTTCTATAATTTCTAAGGCACTTAGCCGTGCCCATAGGGCGTTGTCGGTATATCCTTGTATAAAAGTTAGTTATATTTATAAGGGGTAGTTTTTTCTATTATTAGAAATTGTTTATACTGCCGCCCGTAGTAGACCTACTCGACTACTAAATCTATAAAAGGGCCCCCGCCTCCCGCCGTTTTAATATCCTCTCATCCGGCCCTCCCGATACTCGCTCACCTACGTATATTTAGGAGGATGAATGTAGTCTCCCTAGTCAAGACTTCCAGACAATGATCACCATTAATTAGTACTCTGCTTTTCCAATTCGAGCTATACTTCACTCCAACATAGGCTCTTGGTATGACGCTGTTGGCTGATTCTCTCGGAGAGGCCCTTCCCCGGCACCGCAGGAAGATAGTCCGCCATCTTAGCCTCCCCGGTGGCCGCCCGTCCCAGCATCAGTAGTTGCAGTGGAGGAAGGCAGCCAGGTCCAATGCTAGGTAGAATTCTGGCTCCCCTTTCGGTTCGTCTTTTTTAGGGTTCAGCTTGCCTACAGCACTTTGAACCATCCAGAGCCTTCAATAGGGAAAGGCGTGGTTGACACATCGGTGAACCCTTCAATATCTTTGTCCTGTTCTTTATGGCGTACGAATCCTCGACTGCGGACACAACATCCACAGAATAGCGTGCAATGAGCGTAGTATAGTCTTTTATCTGGATATTGACCACGTGGTTTCATACAGCACTGGCATACCCTTGCACAGCAACCGCCTCGTGCCTCGCATGCCTCTACTAGATGTCCCTGCGAAAGGTGTTTGGTCGGGTTATTAAGTAGGGTTTTATGAATCTGGGAGATACGGGCGTCACGTAGCCTTATCCTAGGACTGCTAGGCTTGCGTTGATGAAGGTCATGCCACTCATTCGCGAGAGCCCAGGCCTCACCAGCCTCGTTCAACAACTTGTGTTGCCAGTCTCTAGGGCCCCAGTTATCCAAATCATTAATTTTGTCTAGTTTCCCTTGCGTAGCGTATTCGATTATTGTTTCTCTAAGGAATATTTGTCGTTGCCTCCATTTATGGAGTCTCTGGGCTAAATAGAGCCGTTCAACGAGCCATTCTGTGTCTCTCTTATATTCATCCCTGGGCTGGACAGCTAGCTTTTTCAGCCGAATCTTGTTAGAAACCCTATTCATCTGCATACGGTCAAATAGCTGTTCGAAATTTAGGCTGGTACCGAATAATATCATAACGATAAGTATGATGCAGCCACCAGTAAGGTGTAGTATGTAGTCGCTAGAAAACTGTAATAAATCTCCGATCGCCATTTGGGGGGGTTTAGGAAGATATACCTAGGATGTAAAGGTGGAAGACTAGTGAAAGATAGTTGGGATGTGAGGTATTGAAGAGTATATGGAACCTTTCTTAGGGTATCACACTATCTTCTTCCCAAAGATATCACGCGGAGTGAAAATAAAAGAGCGAAGGAGAAGAAACGGTGCAGTTTGTCCTTTTAAGGTAGCCTTGGGATGAAAATCTTGCATCAGGGTATCGTCATATTCTTTGCATTTGGATGACGCAAAACACCTTAAACACTCAACCAGCTGGCCTATGTCTGGAAGAACTAAATCTCCTCCATGGTTCCGTCTAACCTCAGAATAAACTCAAGTGCCACTCCTTTTTCGCCCGCCCGCTGCAGGAGGACTGTTGTAAGTTTTTTCCTATGAAAGAACACAGAAATTCCAAAGGTTTTCTAACGAAATTTTTCGTTATCTTCAACATCAAGGAATATGCCTCCAATACTGTCACCCGATGATGGAACATGAACCATGAGACCACGGGACAAAAAAGGCCTATCTGCCCCATGTTCTCTGGGAACATGGACCAAGACAGTGCAATGACAAAGCTTTTCAAAGCAGCAGAGACAATAAGGCTACGAGGAAATATAACTAAAGCTATATGAAAAAAAACGCATACAGGAGGCATTTGCCTTGCTAAAGAGCCCGGGTCTGCACCCAGTACGAAAACGAAGGACCGACGAAATACATTCGGAGATTTTTTAATTAAGTTAAATAATAATAATTGCGGTCCACAGTTCGTCGTACTTTGCGTGGTTGGTCTTAGTTAATTGTTGATCGCATCAATGAAAGAAGGAATCCGTCTCTATTTACCGCTCGAAATAAAAGACCACGCACACGCATTAACAGGCCCGGTCTTACAGCGCATTAGTTACCGAGGACTGTTTTAAAAAACTATGTACGCCCACCTTGAGATGGTTTTATGAATTCTAACATCGACAGCACCGCCAACCACGAATACTATATTGGAGAATGAAGCACCTGTCGTAGATGTGCAATACGGAAGAATGGAGCTTCAGCAACCTTCCTCGTCCCTAGGGGAAAGCACGCCGTTAGGCTCTGGGCAATTGGACTTCATCCCCAACAATCTACATCTAGAGAGGCAGAGCCAACCAGGGATGCTTCGCAGCAGGAATGAAAGGCTTATTAGTTAACACATACGTTAGGTCTACTTTCTGGGCGTGTCTTCGAGCTGACATTGCAAGATGTTCAGCATTGCAAGATGTTCAGGCTATTCTTTCATCCGACCAGGTTGGAAGTAAGTGTGGCTAACGGAAACGTATGGCAATCAGCCGTTGCCAACCATTACACTGACTATCTCACAAGAACTGTGTACTTATTTCAGTGCACAGCGCCGCCAAGTATTCCTTCAATAATACTAGCCTAACATCCCTTTATAACATATTTTAATTTTATATCTCCGAGAGAACGATAACACTATCCAGCGTCCCAAGGTACAATTACTAGGCTCTTGGTATTTTCCTCGTCATTATCCGATCCAACCATACCTATAAACACATTCCCCTAGCTATCGTTTGACGTCCGGTGAACTTTGAGAGCACTACCTCGACTAGATATATTGATTATAGCTGCAACCGTGCCGGTGGGTAGGGATATTGGGGCTGTTATCTCTTTCTGGGGTCCCGCTTCGATCTTGCATGCTTCGCAACCGAGCTACTTATGTTAGATCTTATAATCGACGCTATCGTCAAGTAAGAAGTGGTAGCATACTTCCTCGGAGCATATATCTCTCAGCTCATCATCCGTTGATGATTTCGGGGCTCTGAATTTTCAGAGCATGCTGCTGAGGCGTAACAGGTTCAGCATTTTATCCCTTCCATACTGCTCCGCCACATCTGCTGCCGTCTTCCCGTCCTCGTCCTTTACAGAAGCATCTACACCCTTCTTCAGCAGATATTCAGCGTGCTCTACCGCTAGCGTCGTTGCCTGCAATGCAACCAAATGTAGTAAAGTCTGACCGTTCGCGCTCCTCTGCGTCCAATCGACGTTTGTTTCGGCAAATAAGTCCTGTAAATCCAGGAACGCATAGAGGTGTATCTTAGAAGTTCCGTGGAAACTTCTGGTAGGAGGGAGTTCATCGACTCGGCTCCGCCCAGAATATTCGTCGTCGAGGAAAACCTCAATTGCGCTTCGTCCGGCGTTGTTGCGCGCGTTTACATCCACTCCAAGCTCAAGGAACCTCCGAAATAACAGTCTGCCGGCCTTGTAATTGTACGAGCCACCGAAGGGGCTAGCTGCAAGGTAGTGCAATGCTGTGTTCCCCCTTCCGTCACGGGCATGGGGGTCAGCTCCTGCGGCGAAAAGCTGCTCGATGTGCTTCGCATAGTATTCAGCGCGTCGACCCTGGCTACTGCGCAAGTTCTGTAGGGCAGCATGGAGTGGAAAGATGCCGTGGTGGTCTGGCTGGTTAGCCAGCTGGGGCAGATGTGTTAGAGTGTAATTTATGGCGTCATCACTGGTTCCACCATCAAAGAGATGGTGAACAATGTGCTGTCCTCTGCTGTCGACCGCCAGCATGTCGGCATTGCGAAGCCGGAGAGCATGGAACAATGAAGGCTGGACATCGTAGGAAGAATATTTCCCCGGTATGTAGTGCCAGGCGTCATTGAGAAGGGCATCAGCACCCAGTTCGGACCGGCAAGCAGAATGCAAAAGGGTGCGGCCCTGGGGGTCACGATGCTCAATGTCAAGCTTAATCTTCTCCTCAAGAATGGTAAAGCCTGCCCGCCAGCCTCGAGAATGGAATGGAGAACACTGCGGGTGCCGAACTTAGAAAAGGGAATATCGGTGAATAAACTGCTATCTTCCTCATGAGCCGGGTCTAACTGCTCGTCAAACGTCTCGCAAGGGTAGCGGAAGAATCTGCGACGCCGAGAGGAGCCCGGAAAAGCGCAAATGGATCCGCGCCCGCCTTCAGTAGGTAGCGCATGACCTTGACCTGCTTATCTTGCCGATATCCTAATTCCCTACTGTGAGCTGCAGCCTGCAGAGGATACCCCTTCACGTGTAGAGCTTCGTCTTCATGGTAGAAAGTGACGAAGGCAATGTCGGCATCGCGCGTAGCCCAGCCTGGGGCAACATCCGCATCGGGAGGAGGCGCCCCTGCTGCCCGCATGTTGGGTGTGGCACCATTAAAAAACAAGAAGTAGAGGGTCCTCCTTTGACCGACTTCAGCGGCGGCCATGACAGCCTCTCCCGAGACACACATCCAGCGCATCACCTCAGACTGGAACCGCGCTACCTTCCTGGGGGATCGGACGAAATGGACGAGTGGCTGACCCCATTTGGCGACGACATCATCGACGTCCTCCCATTCAGAATCACCCAACGGCTCAAGGACCTCGGAGCCCGAGTCGGAGTCGGAGTCAAAGACTACCCTTCCCGACATGGTGTCCATGCTGGTTGTCTCACTCTGCGCTGGGTTTCTCGAAGGGACGTCGGTGTTGGCTGTCTGAACAGCTGCTGGGCCTAACTAGTTAGCTGTCTGTCTCCCTCCCGGGGGCCAGGGCTGTCTTATAAGCCGCTTAAGCTACTGGGATCTACCGGAGCATTGATCATTGATGTAACCCAACGCAAGGCAGAAGCATGGATGGCGCTTGGACGAGGAGATCTAATTAAAAACATTGATTAAATTGAGCAAGTTAATGATTCCCATGTGTTTTTATGTAAGTCTGTCATAATGGATTTTAAAATCGCCGACTCATCCTGGCCCCGGTGGTCACCGAGTCAAGAGTCTTCCAGGGATGAAACGATCTCTGCGGCTACGAGAGGCACGCTCCACGCTGTCGGAACCGAGGACAAGGGTCTGGGGACTTCCGACGAGGCAGTTATTGGGCTCTCATTTATGATATCAGCCTCGTTAATCACATCCTGCCGGTGAACCCCGCGTGAGTCATTCTGTGAATCACTGGCGTGGCTCAAAACCGTTCTGTGCATACGCAGTGATACCCAATCTTCGAAATTGACATAGCAAATTACCGAGTTCAAGGAAACAGCCGGACTTCCGTGTTGGTCCGCAGGAGATGTGATAACATGCGCATACAATCACACGCATACATCGTAGGTAGCCAGAAGGACAGGCCCAGATTTGGAATATGTTGGTTCTAACCGGGGGACGAGGTGATATGCATCTAGATGTCACTTGAGAATTCGAATCTGTCAGGTGGTGAAAGAGGCCCGCATCGAGTCGGAACATGGGTATATAGGTCGGCGTGAGATGGGATTATGTCTTGTATAGTTAGTAGCAGGACGAGCTACGAGAGCAAGATACCAAAGTAAAGTCCCTTTGGAGTACCATGTTATTTCCGAGACTCACTCCGGCGCTGATTCTCAGTGCTGCCGTCGCCAATGGATATTTGGTCCCAAGGCAGAACGGCCCAGTCGACCCGGGTACTGCGCCAGACTTCAGGCTTTACGACGAGGCCTTGGATATCACATTGGTTGTGCCTTCAAGCACAACCGCTACTCCAGGAACCACGACTACTTCAGGAGCAACGACGCCTACTCAACCCACTCTGACGGCAAACCTGACATCATTGCCAATCTAGGATGGCATGGTCAACACATACGCTAGGTTCTATCAACCCGTCAGCGGAGATACCTGCGACAAGACTGTCATCAAATTTAGGACCTTCACTCTAAAAGACTTCGTCACTTGGAACCCCGCCGTCAAAGACGATTATTCGGGGCTCTGGGCGGATATTACTACTTTGTAGGTGTTCCAGGGACACCAACGGCTCCTCCCAGCACCACGATGTCTCCTACCACCACCGCCCCAACCGGGCCATCCCCGACGCAGGGAGGCATTATCACAACGTGCCGCCAGTGGTACGAAGCTGAGTCTGGAGACACTTGTTTGAAAATTGTTGACAAGTACGGCACCTTTTCGTTGGCGCAGTTCCAGAGCTGGAACCCAGCAGTTGGTTCCGACTGCACCGGGTTTTAGGTGGGATATTACTATTGTATTCGAAAATGGGAACTATTTGGTACAGTGAACTGGACTTGAAAAGATCTGAGCTCTGAAACAAGGCTCCTGAGAGATAGCTCATATTGGGACATATTTTGTTCCCAAATCCTTGCCCGAACTATCCAGTATTATCAAGTAACGTATTTGATCGGGGCCTGAGCATGCGTATGCCTCGCTAAATTGGTGCCAGAATAGACGCAAGGGAACCTCAAATTTAGCTCTATTGTTCTCCGTGATATAAGAAATATCATCCTCAAGGATATTCTAACTATAGATAGTCATATCCTTAGTTAACGAAAAATTCTCCTATACTTCTAGTAATATAACTAACTAATCTACCTCTAATAATTATAGTAGACTATAGTAAAAATATCGATTGATGTTTAGCGTTTGGTTTGTTGCAGTGCCAAGGCCTGAGGCTCTATCAAAGAAACTTTATACGGTGGAGACCAGGCACTTTTTTTTTGTGGGAAGCTTGTTTTAACATTAAATCCCAAACGCAACAACACGCCCTCGCAACTTAGGTGTGCCACTTCTCAGGCACGAGTATACTTTATAAACTGAGGATGCAATTCATAATATGTTCGACTCCCGGCAGGGACCGCAGATGCTTTTCCACTCTCTATCGCGATGCGCCGTCGGGTGCCTATATATTAGTTGCTCTATAAGAATCTTTGTATTTCTTCGTTGCTTCTTTCTTATCTTTTCTCCTAGCTATAGCACTGAATCTCAGATATAATGACTCTCTGACTTCAAAAAATAATTATTTAAGATTATATCAAAACCAAAACACTCGGCCCACAAGAAATCAATATGACAATGCTATTCAACAATATAGATTATTAGCCAGCTATGAATAATATATAAGTAGAAATATCTGTATTCAACAATTCACTATATTTGTTGACATTTAATAATGACACAATTCAACGTATTATCGAATTAAAAGTGAAAGTGAATAGAAACTGCAGAAAGAATTAGCTATAAGAGCCAATCTTAACACCAAAGATATAAAGTGCCTCTCTGAGATAGCTATTGCGAAGCTACATAGCTACAGCTCAAGACTACATCCCAGAATTCATTATCTTTTAATTCCAATTTCAAACCAACAGCTGCTATTTGAGACTATTATCAAAGCCCGCTACTATGTCTCATCTGCCCGCACAACAACCAAAGGATAACACTGTAAGTAATTGGGTATTATAGAACCGAAATCTTGATGTGTAGTTAACACAAAGCTAGTATCTCGAGACACCCGGAATATGTCGGTCACTTGAGAGACTGCAAAAAGACGACGAGGAGGGGGTTGTCACAGGCATATGGATAGCAATTCTGGCATCAGTTTTTGGTCCGAAAGAGGAATATATGATTCGCGCACAGAGCCTTTCCCCAGGAGGGGTTACAGACCTCCTTGGTCTCCAATTTGTCAAGCAAGGCACAAAATATCGGGAGGTACAATTTCTCGTAGTACAAGCAAAGGCCCCCATTAAGGAAACAAGAGACGCAGCCTGGGAGGCAGCTAAAGATCAGCTGCTTGACTACTTGCCGCATCTCGAACCAAAAAGAAAACACCACAAATATGGGATTGTGGCAGTTGGAAGATGGGCCCAATTTGTCCTCTACGACGAGGACAATCGGCGGTTAACGGCTCTCCACGACGGACACCTTCATGTCGAAAGGCAATTCAAAGACGTTCTGGATTTGCTTCATTATATCCGAGACAACCATTAATTTTTGAGCACTCCCGGCTACGTGTAGGTCCTTAGTAACCGGTCGGTGAGATCGCGTGTGCTTTTAGTCAAGTCCTAGTGGCTTATCTTGCTTGCCATAAAGATATCCAGAGCTCTATGATTGAGAACACTCTTTGCATGTATTAGGACGATAATAATTCACTGTTTTCTCATAACATGTATTCTTTTATCGGGGGCAACAAGTTCATAATGTGCCTTCTGTTCCATAATCCAGCGGATTCTTCAAGCAGGTTCTGGCTCAGAACTTCAGACACAAAATATGCCCAGGGAAAAGATTCCGAATCAACGTAATTCAACTCAAAAAAAAGATCAACCGGAATCCGCCGCTTCCAATACTCTATAGGAAACTCCTCTTCAAATGCAGTCAACATGGTATATAGCTCCTGGAAAGTAAGGTAGTCTGCGATACACATTAGTATCTCCAATGGAAGCCGATAATCAAGAGTCATAATCTGCCTTAAGGATCGTTTCATGACGGATGACTTTTGTCTGCAATTTTGAAATAATGAATCCAACTTCGGTATAAATATGGGATCTGGCAAGCAATACCGCACCTCTGTCGAATGCCCTGGGGTAGATTGTTTATTATCCCAGTGCATGTAATCCCCAAATGCAAGAACGCACCTGTGCTCTTTCTCATGCCTGCAGAGGTGAGTGTATATGTAGTTGTGAAACGGCCCATCATGGAGGGGAGGGTAATAATTTTTGGATGCTGTCAGTAGCTGAGGCATTAACTTATCCCACTGTTTATGCAATGCTGCAACAAGTAAATCCAGTTTAAAACCAGCCACAGGCCCAATATGATGTTCAATGAGATCCCAGCATCGAGAATGGATGGGATACCCTTCAAGAGAAGAATTATCATCAAAATCACTAGGAGTGAATGGATGTGGCACAGGAGACACTTGCAAGGCATCTGAATTTTCCTTGGTGAGCCCAATGCAAGCAGCAGTTGAATCCCGAAGACTGAGAATGTATTTATTCTTCAATGTGCGGGCCCCAGGTGTATAGCCTATCCCGGAGAGATGATAGCCTTGAGGGAGGAATTTGTCATTCTTGCTGAATATGACTAGTTGTAATTATTAAAGCCAGTCCAAAGCATCAGAATGGGGAGCCAGAGTAGAAACTACGTACTCATGCGAAAAAGATTAACCCACGCATTTCCTTCCCCAAGTGAATCGGCGAGATGGGAAGCAGGCATAGAGAGGGAGAATTTTCGCTTGCGTAGGGAGCGGTGAGATTGATGTCTTGTCCAGGCAGAGTACCACTCCTCCTTAGCAAAAATAATATCCGGAGGATACTTTCTAAACCAGTAAGCGGAGGACTCTAGCGGAGCCCCGCACAACCAGCAGAAAAGAGGGCCAGGTTTCCATGGATAGGTAGTCCCGCGCATACGACTTCGACGTTTGTGGCCGGGGCGGCGTTGAAGGTATGGGTTCTTCGTAGCCATATCTAGTAGGCGGCGTAGAGTATGCTCTTAGGTGAGGGTTGATTAGAACATCTCATATATAATTTGTGGGATTTAGACAATACCTAGTTAAATATAACTAGTTATAGGCTAGCAGTCGTTATGACATCAATGACTTCTATTCTAATTATGACGTCAATGGCTTCTATTCTTGTAAATAAATGTTAAAATCTAATGATAATTGTGGTATGAACCTACCTATTCATTAATATATACAGATTAATAACCAGTTAATAGTAGTTCACAGACTTAACTAGTAGATATTAAAAGAGCGTACTATTTAAGAGCTATCCGAGCGTACAAACTCTTTGCAGCTCGAGACGAATCAGAGGCGATCAAGCAACACCCGGAGATCGTGCAGTTTATATTGTTCAACACAGATAAGGTTGGTACTTGTTATGCTAGTGTATACACGCCCACCAGCCTATATTACGTGGCACCCAAAGTATATAAGTAGTGCAGCGACCAGAGATGACGAACGTCATCACCATGTGTGATCTTTTGGTATAATCTTTGGTCGGGTGGCATATGCTGTATCATCGCTGCCGGCATATGGCCACTACACAACTTCAAACAAGTTCTTATATATTTGTCTTCCAATATCAACTTGTTGATATCCAATATTCATCCATTAACTGCAGCCTACGATGTTTTGTACATTCGGTTTTAATTGTATTAAAGATATTGCTATAATATATACACTTGGCTGCTGTATGTATAATATACATGACCTGACTTACACCAGCAGAGATACCCATATCAGAGCTACTGCAGACACCAAACTTGTACATAATGCTGGCCTCGCAGCACTGCCGGGCTGGGATTCTGAGCTATTGTGTTCTTTCTCTCCATTATCTCCATTGCTCATGCTACCCTTTCCCTCTTCGCCGGAATTATCATCCTCATGGAATCGCTCCGCTTTCACACAAGCCATTTCCAGCTTGAGGTTTTCAATATTTTTATAGAGATCACCTTGTAGCGGTTTTCGAATGAGGAACACCGCTGCTCGCTTCTTAATCTGCCGATCGTATCCAGTTGCACCGAACCTCTCGCCGATGTATGGATATCGAGCACTTCCGGACTTCATGATATCAGTGGAATACTCCCCTTCCCCGTTCTCAGTGGCAAGAGCTAGTTATCAAACAAAGTGAGCTATCTTATTCTTTGCAAAAAGCCAAGTTGTCCGGGAAAGGGTACGTGGTGGCATACCTCGAGTAGCAAAATCACTGTAAAGCCCATAATGCTTATTGAAGACGCCGTGGGGGCATGACAGATTTGCCATCAAACGCTTCCCTTCGCTGGACTCTTACTCCCCATACTCATGGAAGCGAGTAATCGACTGTTCGGGGTCTGAACCGCTGGCTGCCATTTCTTCCTTAAAGCACGCTGCCAGGTTATGAGAGCATTGGGCTCCCCAGAGGCCGTCGAAGCCATTGTTACCCCCACTGGGGTCCCCGGTGAAATTCTCGTTCATCAATACTAGCATGTATGTATCCACATGTGCCGATGGGTTCAGGTTGACTTCGGAAATTGCTCTCCCATATACAAAAATAAAAGGGCGATGATAGACAACCAGAGTAGCCAGCCATGTGGAGCTTTCTAGCTTTCTACCTGGCTTTTTCTACTTATCTGGGTTGCGCGGCAGATAGCTTCAAATATCATCGATTTCCCTGACAATGTCTTGCAGCTCTCTGCGGCTGTGTACTATGTATACATAGAGTAGACACAAGGATGGGTGGGTACCAAACCCATGAGCCAAAGGGCAGGCCATCGACAGCTCCCGAGACAAAGCTGCTAGACTTTCACAAAGTCCCACAGCGTCGTTCCATGAACTCTCCTCGATAGATTCTTCCCGTTATCCGCTACGGTCACCACCCTCAACCACTCCCAGTAATGCGGCATCGACAGCCGATATCCTCCCTCGGGATGCTGGGTCGCTGTGATGCACTCCCACGCCTTGGGTTCCGTGGCCTTCGCAAATATATAGTCGCCGCCATCGTGGCCCATGTACTTCCCTGACTTCGGATTGTAAAATGCAAAATAGTTGTCTTTGCTGACACAGTGCCACTCTTGTGCTGCTCTCTGGCCCTCCTCGTTCACGTCCTGGAGGATAACTGCCTCCTGCTCAAACGTGATTGCTCGCTTGGTGCCCTTTTCAAGGATCAGGTATGTATTGTCGGGCCAGGGGACTGTGTAGTAATAGCCATCCCACAGGCCGTTATTCAAAGTCGTTTCGCTCGCGGGCGTGTATGCAGAGGAGCATGTCGTTGAAGCATATGGGGGTACCGTGCTTTCATAGTTCTCAGAGCCCATTTTGACGAACGTAGCCTTGTGCGCGAGTGTAGACGTAGAGTAGTAAAACGAGTTTGGTATTGACGTAGGGGAGTCGTATAGTCGAAGCGGCCCTACATAGTATCCAGTAGTTATGGTCTTGACATCCACAATGCATAAGATGAGAAAAAGCCCTGTTACTCCTACTCTGGGTTGCTGCCTAGCCAATGAACGCTGACTCCCAGGGTTGCTCAACAGCCTCATTCATAGATAACGGCCTGAGTGCAGCCCTGCAGATATAGGAATCCCCTCTTTTCTACGCTGATGTCTCCCCAGCACTTGACGGCAGTATACCGTTTCTCCATCACCCCCTAACTTCTTCTTGCGATGGATAAGCCGTTTGGCAAGTAAGTCACAATGATCTTTTGGCCTGGGAGTCTAGTTTCTCATTTTAAACAGGCTGATATCGTCCAACCTATTTACGTTCCATGTTGGACCTGAAAAGACCCCCTTCATAGTCCACTCCGAGGCTGTTGCTAGGCAGTCCCCAACTCTCGACACGCTCATAAACGGCGGCTTGGTTGAGACACATTCCAGGACAGTCGCATGGCCAGACGTTGATGTGGATACGTTTGTTCGGTTCTGCGAGTTCTGCTTTCTAAGCGATTATTCTCCCCCCAGCTGTAGTGAAGATACGAGCACCGATGAGGCAAAAGCAGATATACTGGAAGGCACTAGAGCTAACGGGGGGGATGTTTCTCCTGATCCAAGGCCTAGGCTCAACCCTTTTGAACCTGAGACTCTTGAGGCGCCCGAGCCAGCGGAAGAGCCGCCTCCTGCGGAAGAGCCACTAGTGGACGAGACAATGGAATGGGGCTTCAGTAGCAGAAAAAAAGGGAAAAAGAAGCTTCCCAAGCCTCCGAAACCGAGACTTTTCTTTAAAGACAAAGAATATTCGCTTCCCCCCTACCTTGCACAAGCTGCTGAACAATTCAAGCCCTTCTCCAACGTTTCAGCATCCCAGGATTTCACGCCTGTGTTCCTTGGGCACGCGCGGCTATACGTCCTCGCAGACAAGTATGGAATCGAGCCCCTCAAAGAGCTTGTGCTATATAAGCTATACACGACCTTGAAGGGGTTCACCATTTTCAGCAAACGAGCCGGAGATATCATTCAGCTGATCAAGTTCACATATGAGAACACACCCGAGAACACATGGGCTGAGGACCTAAGGACACTTGTCACACACTATGTCGCATCTAAGCTAGACGACCTTGCTATGAATAGTGAATTTCATCAAGTCTTGGATGAGGGAGGCGACTTCGTGACGGATTTCTGGAAACTGGTCTGGAGGAGGAGAGATTGTATATTTCAGTCCCTTGGGGAGTATGAGGGTAGCTATTGAATGTTGGACCCCGATCTTTGTCAACGATACTCCTTAATAAAATTCATAAACTATTTATTTTGACAAAGTATAAGTCATATATTAATTCTAAAAGTTATTATCTTAAAGAGTTAAAAAGATTAATACAGAGGGTCATGGATCGTTCAACGTCCAAAAACTCACTCTGACTATTTGTGCTTCAGTCTATCACCTATAACAACACCTAATGGGACTATAGATTCCATCGTAGGTTTAGGCCTACCTAGGAGAGCATACTCGATTACGCCTTGCCTCAGCTCATCCTCTATATTATTAATATCAACCTTGCCCGTATCAACAAGCAGCTTGACTATAGCCTTAAGTCCACACCGAGCGGCGTATAAGGATGGTGTCCAACCGTCCAAAGATCTTGCATTAACATCAACCTTGCCTGTCTCAAGGAGTAGCTTAACCGCAGCCTCATCCCCTCCCATGACGGCCCACAAGAGCGGGGTCCCACCCCTACTACCCCTCAAGTTGATATCAAAAGTATCTCGATTTGCCTCCCTTTTAAGAATCGCTTTTAGTGGCCCTATCATCCCATATAGTGACACTATATGTAACAGGCTGCTCCCTCTTTCGAGAATGGGGTGTGGACGTATTATCTTGTTAAGTCGCTCCAAGTTGTGCGTAAAATCTCTCAAGGGTAAGCCAAAGTAGTCTAGAAGATCATCTTGAGGGGCGTCGTGGGCCTCGCTCTGGTTGGTGTGGAAATGCCATGAATCTATAGCGTACTCTAACAGCGGAAACTCGGACAACAGCTCGTTTCTTGTTATGGCGGCTGACTGAGTGACCTCTTTCATGAAAAAGTAGCGTATGCAGGTTCTGGACAGTTGATAGTGTGCGAGTCCTATCGCCAATTCAGAGTTTTTGGGCCAAGTGCGTGCCGTTGTCTAGCATTAATAGGCCCTTCTCGAGAAAAAAGTCCTTGACAGACTGATGGATGAGCTGCACAATGGGTTTGAACCATGGCGGAGAAATCCATTCGGGAGACAACTGTACGACGACCTCCACAAGGCCGCAGCTGAGCGTCTTGGCTCTCCTCTTTATCATCTCATGATCATCTGGGAAACTGGCCGCGTCTTCGGATTCTTCCAATGACTTGAATGGACTATCAAGCTTTGCATCGACGACCATGGCCCACCGCAATTCGTCCAAAGACAGAGGCCTCTCAGCAAAGCAGACCCACTGGATCAGTTTTAGAGAAGTTGACTTCTCGTTCATGCCCTTGACGAGCTGTTTATATATATCGCCGAGTTCCTTAGGAATGACCCGATTTTTTCCTCGGCCTTTTTCCAGTCAGCCTTCGTCCAGTTAGCCATAACCTGACCAACAGCCCCTTCACGTTCGAGGTCAAGAACGCGAGTGACTACGAGCTGTGCCCACATAAAAACACCAGAGGCACTTCTAGCGATCAAATCTCGAACAGGGCCCGGAATTGTAGAAAGCTGGGCCTGCACGTAAATCGAAATATCCCTTCTATTTTCTTCCTCAGCGCAGATTTCGAGCCCACCACCAAAGTCTAGAATTGGATAGTGGCGGCAAGTAAAGCAGACACGGAATTGGAAACCAGCTGGCGGGAGCTTTTGGAGCCAGGGCTTGAACGTGTTTACCAACTTGATCGCGCTGCCCTTGCCACACTCGTCCAACGCATCAACAAATAGCCAGATTGGGCGGCATTTCAAGACCTTTGGAAGTGAGGACTGGAAGAAGGCTTGCAGCTCGTTTACATGCCACTGCCACGCTTTAGGCGGCTTTCCCCTCTCCTCGCACCGTCGTTCGAAGGTAGCCAGAAGATCTGGCAGGGTGCCAGGAACCTCGCGGAAGAGCTGATGAAGAAGCGACAGGAAGAGGCCACGCGGTGTCTTTTGGAGCTCATCGCCTAGGCCGTAGAAAAAGAATGAGAGAATTATGGCATTGTTTCCCGGGGCATTGTATGCTTTTTCGACACTATCCAGAGCATATTTAAGTAAAGTCGACTTTCCTGAGCCGGGCTTCCCCTTAATACAGAGCAAACCACAATTAGAAGCAACCCAGGTCTTATACGTTGCGTGTTGAAATAGCCATTCGCATGTCCCGTCGGTGGCAGTGTCGATCATCATGGAACGTTCTCCCATAGATGTAAAGGACAGCGACCGTAGGCAACGGTTCTGTATACTTTCTGGTGCTTTATTCACTTTAGAAGTTCATTATACAGTTAGTTAGGAGCCATGTGCCCATCAAAGAGGTCGCTCACTCTTACCACCAATGTTCACGTCTCCTTGGATATTAGCCCCAGTAAAATGAATACCATTACCTGTACTACTATTCTGGACGGGCCAAGGACCGTTGGATCAGTCGGAACCGTGGTGTTGGTTTATAGAGGATGAGCCCCCAGAAGAAGCCTCAAACGTCTCCATCGTTTAGGGTAAACAAAGGGTGTAAAGAAGAAAAGAGCCAGAGTTACGAGTGGAAGTTTAGCCGTAAATACAGGTCCATGGACTTTCACGAAGCAAATATCCTTGCCAACGTAATGCCAAAAGATAGGAAGGGGGGAGGATATCTAGTCTTCCTCTCTGTTGGGAGGGCAATAAGATGTGTAGCCGCCGGCCTTGAGCTAGTAAAAAGCAAGGCTGAAGGGGCTCCGGGTGACTAGCTGGATATCACCTATGAATCTTCGTGGAATCGTTATCGTGCTATCAATTTGGAACAGGGGACACAAATGAAACTTCCATCCTCACAGGGTCAGAAACAAAAACAACACGCATGGAGATCTCTAAGTAAAGTCTTCGAAAACGTCTATATTTATCGTGTTATCGGATAAAGATGCCGCCTTCAACAAGAGCAAGGCTAGGAGTATGACGAGGGGTACCGTATAAGGATGGGTATAGGGGTAATTGAGAGAGAGAGAGAGTAAGTATCAGCAATGAAAATGTTCATACTGAAAATCCCTTGGAAATGTAATGGCCTTGGTGGGTTTGTGCTAAGGCCTCCGACGAGGAGGTATAATTGCTTTTCCGGATAGTACTATTAAGTTAGGTATGTGGTGCATGGACTGGACCTTGGAGATGGTTTGATATCTTGTCTAAGCGCCTCGTAGGCTAACTGATTGCTTCCCAGCCCTGGTTTCATGCAGGCTGAATCGAGATATCTCGTACAGCACGGTGCGTACGGATTGGATTGAATTGGCCATGGTGGTATAATAGAAATTGTCAATGCATGCACTTCGTATATCAGGCAGTTAGATGTTTCGATTATGCATTGGATGGATTGGTTCCTTCGTGACCCCTTTCGTGTAGATTGATAGTTATTCGACTAGATGGTAACAGTGAAGCAAATGTAAACTCTGCGATCGATCATCCCTTGCCCTTGCTAAGTAATTGGCTAGTAATATTAATCCTCTGTGGGAAGTGCCGACAAGGCTAGCTCCTGGCTGAGTTTTGATGAACTTGCATGACTGGCTTTCCATGTATAGGAGGCCGGTGGCTCGTTCGTTATTAGAAACAATGTATGGCCCCCAGCATCCGCCACCGGCGGCTAGAGACCACACTCGTATAGTATAATGATCAAAAAAGTCATGCCTTCTTCACCCCAGCCCAGCACGGAGACGGCCGATGCATTGTTTGGTCTTTCAACCGCATGGATATGAAGGGCTTCTGGGTTTAAAAGTAGAGCTGGGAGCGTCTTGTTCGGGCTCAGGTGTCCAACCCCAAAGCCCCTAAACAGCAGACTACTCTTAGTTCCTCCCTAGGTCCTCTTCGCAAATCTCTTTCCAAATTCCGACCCGTCTTCTAGCAAGAATGTCAGACGTCGACATCCCCACCTTGATCATGATCACAATCATCCCCTTAAACTCCGCCACGGAATGGTACAATACTGTCAAAGATGACAAGAATCTTCGAGAGGCCTTCCATGGAGCAGGCCAGGGCGTGCTCCTCGTCAAGAAGGCTCTCGACGCCACCAAGGCTCAACCAGATGGATGCAGCCTATCCGGAGAGCCCGCTAGCGTCCGGAGCTCACTGCTGGCCTGCAACGCAAAATCAAAGTCGGTTGAGAGCATATTCAAGGAAGTTGCTCTAGCACCGAAGGACTCGAGATACGACCGTTACCAAGCGGCAGTGAGACGAGAGGGCAAGGGAGACGCGGTAGAGACTTTGGTGGGAGGCATGATGGAGGATGTCTGTGATATGGTCAAGGGTAGCACAATCGAGGCAGCAATGGAATCCCACGTCAAGGAACTGCGCGAAGCCATCGAGAAACTGTCGAAGATGGAGCCATCCATGCCAAGCGAGCCACGGCAGGACAGCAAATACGTCCATTATGGCTCTGGCGACCAATTCAACGCCCCAGGAGGCACCCAGAACAAAAGCTCGGGAAATGGGAATCATTTCCCTGGGGCAACGATCACCGGAAACCTGAATTTTGGCCACATTCCAGCCGTCGAGGACAGCAAGAACCTACTCTCTAAATAACAGAAGAGCGGGTTTCGTTCTCAGCAGCATTCTCCGTTTCATCATCGATTAGGGAGTGATTTCTGGGTGGTCGTTGTGGTGCATACAGTTATTGTATTTGGCACTATCATGATCTGCTTCAACGTATAAATAGCTAGCAAACTGAGTATTATACGTCCCAGGTTAACTCGCAGTCGAGTGGGTCAACGTCAGCTTCTTCTCGAGCCTCCCGACAGTGGATAACTAACGGTTAGTTATAGCTTATATCTCCTCAGCCTTATTAAGCTTATCTTAGCCCTATAGCCAAAGTTTGTGGTAGAGTGGTAATATAACCGCCAATTGGTGTGGGCTCGCCTTTTTGGCCGAGTGGCAGATTCTGACAAGTGGGTACCATATAAGGGTACCTTCCCTCCTCCATACTCTGAATACTATACAATCAAACTCGGCAGAGGGCTGCTTCATCTATATAGTTTCTTCTGTGTTATACCAAACTTGTTTGCTACTCTACGGAGTAGTAGTCTACTATGATCCAAAACCGATACAATTATCCAAAAACAATGTACCATTTTCTCATTGCACTTTCATAACTGCTTGTTTCGCGTCATATTGAATGTATTTTACACTATCAGTAATCACAGTGACCACAATAACCGCAGTCTTCCAAGCTGCACGCCGTGTAGTCCCGCGGAGAGCTCTCTGCAGAAATACAATAGTCATAATCAGAGTCGTTGAAACGGGTATAACTTAGAACGGGACTTGAACATCGACTCTTGGGTTTAGCCCCTAGGGATTTAGTGTTTCCTTCTCTTCCTAGGGCGTCAGATGTAATAACCTGCTGGGTACCCCCTTCGATATCCGGACCAAATTTTGCAAATAGTAGAGCTTTTCTAAGGGATCCCTTGAGTATGAGACTAGCAGGCAACGGCGGCTCTTTGTTTGCCATACTTTGTAGTAAATCGACGAGAGCCTCGCGTGTTGCCAATGGAACACCGTGGCACAAGTTTTTCATTGAATTATCAACAAGTTCCTTAGCAAATCCCGCAACCTCTTGCTTCTCCATATCAAGGGTTAAACCACAATCTTCGGAGGAGCCACAGGTGCCTGAGCAGGCTTGGACGAAACTGACCACATTGGTGGCTGTCAAGTTCACTTTCCACGCCGCCGAGAGATCGACACCGACATTCCATCTGGAGTTGAGAATATCGAGAGTAACAAGGCTGAGAATGTCTCCCTTTAGCTGAGAACAAATACGCGGGAGTAGGTTTTCGAGACATTTCCGTGTAAGGGTATCGCCAACTTTTAAGTCACTATAGACTGGAGAGAGCTGTGGTTTGGCAGTCTCCTCCTGCCTTGCCAGGTGGGTGCATTGAGGGAGATCAATCTCTGCTGCAGGTCGTGCAATTGTTGCTCGCCAGTGGTGTTTATTTATAGGATCTATTTGATAGAGGTTAATTTCGAAGAATTTATTGTGTAAGCTACATCGGAAGTTTTTGTATCTATTTTAAATTAGATTGAGATTAGATAGGAAATTGGAGTAGTAACACACGAGTTGAGCTTTTGGAAATTCGCGTCAATGAGTTGTTTCTCGTTGACCTCGCTGAATGTCCAACAATCGTGGGGTATGAAATACCGAATCCATTCTTGGGGCCCATAATTTATTTGGCAGACAACTTGAATGGCATATGATGGTTTAGTGAGCTGTTCAGAGGTGCTGATGATAGAAGTTTCTTTCTGTAATTTAGCCCAATCCACAAACTGTGTAAACTTGGACTCGTGGTCCAGGATGCGTGGACGATAAGGGGCCACATTAGAGCAGCAAAACAGCGAACCCATGGCTAGTCAAAGAGGTAAAGAAACCAGCGCCAGATGCCCTCCTGAGGCCCGGAAGTAGGAAGACAACTGTGCCTGCAAGTCATTAGTGTATGTTAGTAAGGCAGCTGCCAAACACGTATATATATTTTTACTGCTTTAAGTTAAAGGCGGGATATAAAACAGGTTTTCTAGAGCTATGATGAAATAAATAGCGGTATTATGTCTCAGAGAGGTGTAACTAGGCGGATAGGCGTACGGTGGCGTCTCAGATATATAGAACTGCCTAGGATGCAGTTGTAACCGAGCAACTATCCAAACCGCTAGGTATATACCAAGGGTATTTCATTAGGTACACCTAAATGCAAACTCAAAGAGGAGGAATATTCAAGTCCCACCAAGGTAACACGTCCGAAGTGCGGTTTAATAGATCCCCCATTTGACATTCTGGTTATGGGAATTCCCCCTACACGACATGTCGCCCTTGGCAGCAACTCTGCCATCTTTGGCAAACTGCTGAATCACGGCCTTGATAATATCGACGACGTCTTGTGCGCTAACGTAGAAGCCAACGTTTCCGTTCACTTTAGTTGCTTCGACGCCAAACCTGCAGGTGCCGAAATCTGCGATTCGGCGCTGGTTCTTGCCGACGACTGGAGTAGTCCACTGGCCATTGGTTCCCTCAATGTTCTTTATTATTATCAGGCAATCCGACACAAGCGGGGACCCCACGTTCGTCTGGTCCTCGAACGTTGAGTCTGCACAGTCACCCGTGGATTGTGGGGAGCACGGGTAATTTTCTAATCTGGTGTTACCCTCACCGTTGAACCCCAGCCATGTCCTGAAGGCTGTGTCAGGACTGCAGACAGGCATGCGGATGAAACCTGGCGTTGTGATGTCTTGACTTATGAGATTGTCACGGGTCCCAGCGTCGTCAGGATCAGCTACTTTGCCACCGTTTCTGCCACCGTTCTGTTTGTATGTGTTGACGGATCTAAGCTTGGGTTAGTTAATTGTGTCAAGCTATGGTTGATTCCCAGAGGAACGACGAACTCACCCCTTGATTAGATCGTCCAAAGTAACGCCCTTGTAAGAGTTCCCATGATTCAAAAACTCGATCCCTGGCGGCGCCGAGAACTTACTATTATGGCATTCTTGTTGGCCTACGCCTGTAATCGTGCAGGTCTGTGCTTCACCATTTGGGGAGGCCAGATAGTACAGTTTGTCGTCAACACAGCTGGCTGTCGCATGCATTGTTTCCACCGAAAGGTAAGTGTCGAGCGGGTCGATTGTACCACACGGGTAGCCTGAGTCGATGACAAAAGGGAACGTCCCCGCGGCGGTCCAGATGGCGGGGATGGCGAATCCAAAAATAGTTCTCGCAATAGCAGCATCATACTTGGGTCCGGACTCGTGGCGTTTAAAATCACCATCAACTTTTCCATCAATGAGCTTGCCATCGGAGATGATACCTGTCAGCATAGCTATTGATTTGTCGCTGCCGTCGAAAAGGTCTTCGAGAGTGACAGATGTGATGTTGCCCCAGGCATAGATGGTTTCGCCTAAGTAGTTGGAGAATTCATCCTGCTTCGCTCCCGTCCAGGAGCCACTGTGCATTCGCCCACCGATTGTCAGCCATACATGTGGACTAACTGACAGCTGGGGTTGCTGCAAGGCAAAAATTAAGTGACACAACATTGACGGGGGCAGCTTACACCTTGGGGTCCGCAAACAAGTCTTTCGCAAGGGTTGTACTTTGTCCGATAAGAAGCAAAGTAGTATCCTTTACATTGTCATACCCCGCAGGCTTCGCTATGAAATACGACAAATTCTTCAAGTCTTTTTAATTTTCAATGTCAGTCTGCCATTGCATGGGAGTGCGTGAGGGAGCGGGCACTTACGAGAATTGAAAATGAAACCGCCAATTCCAGCAGTCCCGAGAGTGATTAGATCTATCAGGACAAGCAACCACTTATTGTCGGGAGGCGGCGGTACCGGTGCGAACTTGTTCTCAAAGTCATCGAGCGCGGGGTTTACTAAAATGTTTGTAGCTCTTTGCAGGGCAGTATCGATCTCGCTGTACATCTGCATTGGTGATTTTGCGTCTGTTAGCTGGATTGCTGATATATATGGGGGCGACACCCGATGGAAACCTACATTGTGAACCTCCACCAAAGAATTCCATATTAAGAAGGCCGCTGCGCCTGTTCCTTTCCCACGGAACGCGTCGCACACTAGGGAAGTCTTACAGTTCGTACCGCCTAATACGCCGCAGTCTGCCTTTTCCGGCCCATTGAATGTGTCTGAAATAGACCTCAGGAACGCAGTATCATCTCTCGCCCGGGGTCTGTCGTACATCTTCCATATGTCGATCGCGTCCTGCCAAGCGTGAGGACAATCCAGCATTCCCCATCGCTGTGATGGAGTTAGGTAACGGCGATCCACGGCGCCCGGATCACTGCAAGTCAGCTCAGTCCAGTTCCCAGCCCGATTGTCGGATCTGTATGGGTCCTCTCCAAGCCTGAGTTTCTGTAGGAAGTTATCCCAACTCCCCAAGTCGGCAGGGGGGTCGTTATACGATTCTAAGTCGATGGCCCAATTGGTGGTGCCGCCCATGTTGAACGACTTGTATATAGCCGTCCGCGATTCTCTAATTTCGGCACTCATGTAACCAACCCATTGGGTATTATCATACACGAGAATATTGCTATTACTAGCTCCATCAACGTAGTGCTCGTTGATTCGGCCGGGGTCCTTGAGGATCTCGTCAATCTCTGCGTTAGCGATATACCCAGCGGTGCGAGTGCATACGCCTTTTGCAGCATTTGAGGACTGTGGGCCTCCGGTGTACAGGCACTCCGGGGTGTGGCAGCCGGCTTCAGCCATTGCAAATGATCGCCCGTAGCTAGTAACGCCCACTACGACTTTGTTTGATGGAACACCCGCCTTTGTAATCTGCGATATCTCTGTTAGCTTGTACACACAAACACACAGCGGAGGGACCAGTCAGAGATATAGGACACTAACCATAGACAGAGCGCTAATCGTCTCAGTCAGGTTGACGTGGCTGCGGAGACACATTCCTGACGGGCAACCAGGCTGTGCGAACGTGCTCTGTGCGTCCCACTGTGCAATAAATAGTCAGTTTCGAGCAAGTTTCTAAGCCAGAAGGGTCGGGTTGCTTACTTGGCCGTGCAAGTCGTAAGTCATGTAAACGATGTAATCCACAATTTTTCCGATTTGGTTGATGGGGAAACCCTTTAAATACCAGTACGAGGCAGGAGCCGCAATTGAAACTGATTTGCCCTGTAGCAAGTTTTTTAGGACGACAAGGAAGGCTAGATAGTTTGCACCCTCGTCCTTGGAGCCAGGGGGAATACCCGGGATGTCGGGGGCCTGGATGGAATAATTATGTTAGCAGGGAAGGATGTGTTTCTTGTGTTTCAAGAGGTGATTAGGCTCACTGATGGATACTCCCAGTCAATATCAACTCCATCAAGGTCATGCTCTTTTATGAAGTTAGCAATGTTAGTAGCCAACTTAAGCCTGTTGGCGCGTGTGACACCCTGACGGAGGATAGTATAAGTTTCTGGGCTATTGGAGAAATCCCAACCGCCAAATGACAAGATCCTTTTTGGGCCTCGGATAAGTTTAAAGTTATTAAACTCGTAGGAGGTCATGGTATCACCAACGTTGATCTCGTAGTCAGGCGTAATTGAGCCAAACGCAAAGTGCAAGTGTGTGTATTGTGAGGCGTCGATCTGGAGAGCCTCCTGGTAGAGACAGTCACGACTAGAGAAGCTATAACCCTCGAAATAGCCGAGTTTTATAAAGGTCTCAGGCGCGTTACCGCGGATGATCGAGACGCCACAGTTTGAAATACAGCCATTAGTACCGGGTTTGGCAGTTCCGGGTGCACCAGTGCCAGTATTGACGCAAAACTCCTTGGTGATGCCACACTGGGATTATTTGTTAGCAAAACTGTGTCTAGTTAATATGAGACAAATGGATGGGACTTACCTGTCCCCAGACATTACAGCACGCATTTAGCGGGCAAGGGTTGAGGCCGGCGATGTCACTATCGTCCGTCGGCGCCAAGGTTCCTGGCACCTGCGGACCGCATACGGCATTGGCCATAGGAGCTGGAAAGGGTGGCCTTCCCGTGCTTATACATGCAATGGTACCGGCCCAAACGTTAGAGCATCCATTCCAAGCCCAAGTGTTCTTGTTGAATTTTTCCAGGTCGTCATTTGTAAGGCCGTTGGCAGCTGCAACGCTTGAGCAACTGTCGCCGGCCACAAATGTATGTGCGTAACATGATCCATCTGGGTTAGGCTTGGGGGTGAAGTCAGGGAGGGTCCCAGACGAGCAACAAATATGCTGAAGTGGCTTGAGAGTCGAACAGAAGTTGGTGGCGGAGTTATATTTGATTATATCGACGTCAGCGATCCCGCATTTCTTGGCCAAGGAGCCGCAACTATCGCCCGCTTGGACTTGGATCGTCCTGCAGTCTGCTCGGGCCGATAGGCGCGCGCTTTTGGCGGATACGGTGGCGTTACTACCGCGCACAGTTGAGTTTGTTGTAGGAACTAAGGGGATGGTGAAGTGGGCTGGACCGGTGATGTTCTTGGACTCAGTGAAGGAGAGACAGTCCGCTTTGGCCCAAGTCTTGAGTGCATTTTGTACAGGGGTGAAAGAACCGTTGCTGGTGGCCATGAAACCAAAGATGTGATCAGCATCATAACCTGGCTGGCATAGTTGCATGGCCATGCTCGACGTCTTAATCTCCTGCTGTAATACACTGTCTTCTAAAGCCTTAAGAGCAAACGAGCTAACTCCTTCGTTTTGCAAGCCTTTGCCAATATAGAGGCCGATGGCGGCTTGACCCGAATAGCCAAACAGCAGCACTGTTTTGTTTGTAGACCCGTATCCGTTGGTCAGGTAGTGGCGCAACTGCATAGACAATGAATAGATACCAGAGGAAGCAAGCCTTCCACCTTCGGACCACCACCCTATTTCATAAGGAGCATCATCGCTGACAGACTGCACTTCAGCAACATCCGCCGTCGATTTTGGCAGGTTGGCCCAGTCGGGCCCATAAGACGTACAGGCATAGATGCGATGGAAGGTATGTGCGTCATCGACCTCGTCATGCAAGTTGAAATTGTAAAATTGGGTCTCCTGGCAGGACTGGAGCTGGTCGAGGTTGTGGTAGACAGACCAGTTATATGGATTAGGCCCTGAGGTACTGCAACGAATCGGGCATGCGTCTCTACCGGCGTAGCCTGGGCTCGCTGATTGTCTATTTCCCTGCGCAGTGACCACGCTGGCGAGCAACAAGAGGCTTAATGCCCCAAGAGCCGCGCCGAACATTGATTCTTAACAATAGTAGTACAAAATGAATGAGGGTTAACGAGTGTGGTGTGTGATATTTAATTGTAGTAGCGTAATGTGGAAGTTGTACGCCTCAAGCTGCTCCTTTTATATTTTCCCTTCATCAGTGGACCTCATATCCATCTCTCCCAGCTTCTGCGGCATTTCTCAAAGGAGTTAGGAGCACGACTTCAGCTCGTGACTTTGAAACATTGTCTTTGACACTACTTCAGTGGGTCTGAGGCCAGGATTGCGGAACGGTGCATGCATATACTCTGTACCTGTGATGGCTGGGGGCTAGACGGCGGATGAACTTTGCTCAAAGCAGAGACCAATTATCGTCACCACTTCATGCAAACATCATGTAGGTAATGGTTACTCAAGGCCTGTTTATTACTTTCAGGGGCAGGATAAGTGGTTATATAGTCACTAGCCAGTCGTTTCTTTTCTTTCTTTTTTAGCTGAACCCCAACTGTTACTCGAACAGGGCAATGTTTTCCAGGATACCATGTGGGATGTACCTGTAAGATTAGTCTAGGACGGAATATTTCTCCATAATGTGCGCGACGCCCGACGGGTATCAGCGGTGAGCAGCCGCTGTCAATTGCGCAGGCCTGGGTTTATTTATTATGCGCGACACAACGAGTAACTGGATTGAGAAATAGTTAATAACGCCATAAATACAATGTAGAAGAAATCATGTCATGTGGATGAGCCAAGCGAGAGTAGCTGCCAACAATGCTGTCCCTCCAGCCGAAAACTGCACTGCACGTCGTGTCGAAGTCGACTCAGGCGGGCAGCTCCCGATTGGATTCCAGGATGCGATACATGCAGTGGATTGAATGGCGGACGAGATGCTCGATGCTATCACAGAGTCTATCTTGGCCCTACAGGGATTCGGAGTTGGCGTGATGGTCGAAAGAACTGCGCACGAGGGTTGAGTTTTATAATAACTGTCATCCCAGGGGACATCCATTACCTCCGTGATATTCACTGTATCGGCTCGTGATTCGCCACAGGTTCCATCTTGCGTTGCAGCAACGAGATCCGGCTGCTTAGCCCCGTGCTTAGTAGTAAAGTAAAGGATATTGCGCGTGCCAACGCTTCCAACCTCCAAAGGTATTCGTGAGCCCAAATGGCTCTCTGGGTCCTTCTTGGGTTGCGAGCAATTATCCGCACTCCACGTCCAGATAAGCTCCCATGTGCCCTCGGTAGTGTTAATCTTGCGAGTCCAGTCATATAAAAAATAAGTGTCGCTACTAGAGTAGTTGGCATAGTTTAAATAGCGTTGGCCAACTGCGGATGTTGATTTGTTGTAGGGGATTTGGTCAAGGGTGTAAAAGAAGTGCAAGTAGAGCGGCTTTGCGACGCGGAAGTTCTGGATAGCAAAGACAAATGGCATGAGCTGGGTAGGGGCGTAGGTCTCATTGCGCGGAAAGATCATGTCCACTTCCACAATCTGCGGGTATGTAGGGGTTGGGGCGTCCGCGGCCCAGCTGCAGGCTAGCAGAAGCAACCAGCCGAGAAAGTAGAATCCATGATGGAAAGCGGCCATGTTTGATGGTTCGATAATGGTGATTGTGGGAGGAGCTAAAGGAGAATCGGAGAGAGAATCAGGAGAGAAGAATATGCACCCAACATGGGTACTTATATAAGCGACAGTTGGTTGGACTTTTCGGGCACAACCGCTTCTTGTTTAGCTATGGGCCATCCCCTGTGTGTCTGAGTTGACGAATGAGAGCTACCTTTTAATGTTGGCTTGCGGTAGGATAACGGGGAAAGAGAGTTTACATGGGTATTTGTGCTGTCGTTAAAAAGTATGGGTAAGTAATTACGGCGGAGTATTGCAAGGTGCATGCTCCCGTTGCGCTGGAATCGGCGAATGAGAGATATCTTTTAATGTTGGTTAAAAGAGAGGCGGTGGCGAGATGCAAGGAACAAGTGGGCAACGGTTATGCTTAATGTAACCTAAGTGGACGGGTTGAGTTAATTAACGCCGGGCGCGTCGCCTTGGCGTTTGGCGAGACGGATGGTTCCGATTCTTAACTTCAGCCCAACAAAGCACCTCGAATGTACTCTGTAGATATAGAGTAATAACAATACGGTTTCAAAAATGTTGTCAACTCCACGGAGGGTTACATTGAGATGGCAGGCCCTGTGTACAGCAGGGTTATAGCAGGCTTGGGTTAAAATCTGCCTGTCAACCTGGCCTTGGGTCAAAGTATATATTGCCTTGAAGGGGTATATCCAAAATCAGCAGCTTCTTTTTCCCTTCCCACTTGCTTGTGAAACACACCAAGACCCTCAAAGATGCATCTCACTTTCTTTGTTGTCCTGACACTGCTCCCGGAGCTGCTTTTCGCCAGAGTACTCCATTCCCGTGCTGTTCTCTGTAGCTTTGCCGCTATAGGCGACCCTGGAGATACATGCGATACCTTGTCTGACCGCTGGGGCATTACCATTGACATGTTTAAGATGTTGAATCCCGGCGTCAACTGCCCCGATTTGGTGGCTAATAAGGAGTATTGCCTCGTTGGCACTATCTCGCCAGATTCCCCTGGAACAACGACTACTCCGAAGACCACCACAAAGCCCACCATGACACCAACAAAAACCACTACCACTACGCAGGCAATGATCACCACGAAGCCGGCTGACCCTCCCTCTCCTACCCAGCCAGGCCTTGTAAAGAACTGCGATAAGTTCTATCTGGTCGCGTCTGGGGATAATTGCTACTCCATCCAGACCAAGTACGGTGTTAGCTCGGATCAGTTTAAGATGTGGAACCCTTATATTAATGCCGGTATGTACCTCCCCCTTATCTTTACTATCAGACGGATCATGATCTAATATATCATTATAGAATGTAGTAACCTGTGGGTGGACTACTACATCTGTATTCACGTTCCTGGCGCTACGATATCTACACCTATACCTACGCCTACGCCCAATGGCCCACAGCCACAGATGCCTGGTATCGTGAGCAACTGCAAAAAGTTCCATCTGATCCAGTCTGGTGATAACTGCTATACTGTTAATCAGGCCGCGGGTATTACTCTGGCCCAGTTCCGCTCTTGGAACAAGAACGTTAACGCGGATTGCAGCAACATATGGCTAGGTTACTATGTTTGTATTGGCATCTAAGCCACTCATCATAACGTGCGCGGCTCCTGTTTTGCGAAATGCATCATTGTTAATAAGACAAAATATTTATATTTCGGAGTATTTTCCAATCCGCCAATACGGCACTTGTAAATATATACATGATAGGCGACCTATGCAGCCAGTATTGAGTAGTATTAATAGTCATGGTTATCATAATTATCTAAAAACTAGGATACCAACTACTTTTGAGCAATAGTTATGGTAAAATAAGGAGAATAAGAATACCTAATCATTTTTCGTGGTGAGCAAGAACTCTTAGGTGTTTATTAGTCTCAGTCACGGTCTGGCCGTGTCCCAGACTTTACCATAGGACTCAGTTCTATACCTCCGCCGAAGAAGGCCTGGGTATGTCTTCATCCGTCAAGACGCCGTCAAGTTCTGATCAACGACACCAACTATTTGCTGGTAGGTTTCCCCCTGATATCTAAGGTGAAGTGATCAAGATGGGGATAAGTCACAGTATAACTGGCTGCCGGAAGTATTTAATAAAAACAAAGGATAAGCCCGTCTGCCCTTGATATTACTAACTGATTCAATTGTGTGCTTACATTGAATCTGATAACTAGGGACAAGTGACCAGTCTATTTGGAGTTCTAATGAGGCTCTTCGCACGACAACTATCAGGCAGAAATCACATCAACGTCTCATCAGTGAATTATCATATCACTTAGTAGCTAACAAATTTCCCTTCCTTCAGGACGCTGAAATCTTTGAAAGCGTGGCAGATCTAGACGTACAATGACCTGAGAGGGAGAATAGTATGGTCCCATTATTTGTCATTGAAGTTGGTCCAAGTGCTGCCCCGTATTTATATATGGTATTCGATGGAAAGGTGAAATAATTGTTGCAGTGCAAGTATTTGGAAGGGAGCCTGGAGCTAGAGAGCTGGTAGAGAAAACTCCAAATATTGTAAGTTCAGCTCTGACAATGTATCTTCTTCAATCCTAATCAGTTATGAATTTAACTGTTATCGCTAGACATTCTTTCGGGAAGCCCAAGATGAGCAGGTCGACAGGAACTTCGGTATAGAATCTCCGGGTCTCAACATAAACTATCAGACTTTGTGCCATTAGACAGTAACGTCTACCAGCGAGATCTAACTTCAATGTGATCAAGTGCGACAAGAAATTGACTGGACTAGATGTGAGCTTCTTAAAAGATACCCGGCGGCTCTGCTAAGCTGAAAAGTGATGGCCAGATTCGATGACTCTTGCAGCTTCAAATTGTAATCAGACGGAGCTGCCAGGTCACCTTTGGACATTTGCACAGTAACGGACGTCTATAGCGGCACCTGCTGGGTTTCATTCAACGTGCTTGTAAATAGTTATCCAGGGCTAGGGAGAGCTTGTCTCTGGATAGATATTGACGCGAGCACCGTTTGGATGGAATGATTCCTTGGTTTGTAAGATAACAAGCTCTATATAGATATATAGATGTAATTGTACGATTTACGTTCGATAACTTTTGAAACACTGAGTTGGCCTGGATTACATAAGCCGACCTTTCACATCAACGCCAGCTTTTTCTTCTTTTCTCTCCGTCAGGACATTTCAACCTCCAGTCTTCAATACGTTAAAAAGCGAAAAACTTGATAAAGTGCATGTTAGGTGCGGACACACTCCTGGAGATACCGGTCGCTTTTCTACGATCTGGATGAGGGCCTGAGCCGGCTAATCTGGCCTCGCGTGAGCGCCTGGCCACCTTTCCCGTCAACATGCAGATCGACCCTGCGGCACTGACAGGGACAGCCGACTTTGCTTCGGTGGTGCCAGCCTCTACGACTAAGGCTGTCCCAGCTGCTCCTCCGATAACACAGAAAACATCAAAGGCTCTCATATCTGTTCCGCGTCTCGATATTGAACCTATCTATACTGAACTGAAGAGCGCAATTGGGGATGGTTGGACTGAATACAAACAAGCCACCACACTTTTCTTGCTCGGTATATCGCAGTCATGAATATTCTTGCGATTTTATTTTATCTTGCTCACCATCCCGCTTTTACCAGGTCACCTTAATCAAAATGAATTTACCGCGCGTGCTACCCCACTGCTGGCCGTCGACCCCAGGCGTGAACATCTTCACAATAATTTCGTCTGCGCGCTGCTTGGAAATTTAACTAGAGACCTCCCTGACCATGGAGTCGCAAGCTGGGTTTCTGCAAATGACAAACCAACAGTGGTATCGAAACCAACCTCTGGAGATGCTGCTGAACAACGCCTCAAGACAGAGGTTATGCAGCTTCCGCCGAGAGATAGACGAAGATTAAAGGCAATTCCAGAGGTAAGCCTTATACGATGATATCTATGTCTACGGAGTCCATACACTTGCTAACATAATGCTTATAGCCTGATCCAGGTGCTCTTCCTAACCCTCTCGAGGAATATCAACTGGCAAAGCAGATCAGGCTACCAGATCAAGTTCCTGCGAGTGCAGGAGGATTGAACAAAACGAGTATGACATCCTCTCAATTATCTCTTTATAATTCTTAATATTCCTTTTATATTTGGCTAATTGTCGAGGAATACATAGACTGGGAGCTTGAAATTAGAAAACGATATGCTCAGCCTCTTGCCTCGGAGACTGGAGAGTTCCCCGACTCTGAATCGATATATGCGCGCATGACACCTATCTGCTATGAAGAATCTATATCTAATGGAGCCTCCTTTCCGTGTGCGACTTACATGGCAATTGCGACTGAGAACTTTGTCAAGACTTTTCTATCAAATGTCTTTGGTAGGACTAAGTGTAATGGCCCTTCTGGGACCATAAATGGAATGACGACTAGAAAGTACCGTCGCCAGTTAGAACGTGAAGAGATGGCTTTTACGCGAGGAGAATTGGTGAGAAATACCACAAATGGTCTTCTCCCTGTCGAAGCGAAGGAAGCTAGCAATCGTCAACCACTAGGGCTGCGCGACCTGAAGTTGACCCTGGACATTGCACCCGGTGCCCTTGGCCATATGCCTCTTATCATTAGCCAGATAATGAGTGGCTACCTTGAGGAAGAGCTCAACGCAGAAAACGAATGCTACACGCTAGAGGCTAATGCAAGAACCGAGACCGTCGATCAGGTATCGTCTGGAGATGAGATGGACCTGGACGAGGAGCCTTGGGATTGGGAGGGTGCCACAGCCGCAGATCATAACCAACTCAACGCTATTCTAGACGAATGCCTCTCCATGGCATCCTGATGTACTTACTGGTCTGGAGTTGAGAGGTGCATACTTATTGGCGCAGTGGTTCTTTGCTTTAGGTCCGTTCTTTACGGAGTATCGTTTGGTCATTTTTTTTTTTGATGCATGGGAAGGTTGTGAGTGTGATTATTCTAAACTATTAATCTCTCTATATTAAAGAGACGCCGAAGCGAGGTAATATTTCCAAACCCGCAAGCCCTAGGGTGTTACTACATGTTGATATCTGATACTGTGTGTTAATATCCTAAATATTTGATATTCTGTCACCTGTTAATATGGGAGATATGAACAATTGCTTCAGGCTGTGATAGCTTCCAAATGGCTTCTAATCATCAGATTTGATGTGTTTTTCAAAGTATCTAGAAATAACAACCTTGCGCCGTGTCCGCCTTATCCCTAACCTGGTACTCCCAAACCTAGCTAACGGCCTAGTAAAATTAAAGAAAATAAAAATAAATCATAGATATGTAGACACAAAAGGGAGACACATAAAACATAGAGAAGGCTATTTTATTCTAGGCGGTTCAAGGTAATTTTCAAAATCTCTTCGGTGGTTTTATGGGCATTGGCGGGATCTTTGCTCACTGTTTGCCAGATCTCTCCATGCTTCGGCTCAGTGGCAATACATTTCGTAAGGACATCCTCTCGCTTTTCCTATTATAAAAACTTTGCATTAGAGAAGGACCGGGAATGGCTGGGAAAGAGAAAGAAGACGGCTCACATCTGTTCCGTGTTGGAGAAGAAATTTATAGTACCAGGCCCAAACATCCCCGAGATCACTATTCGCTACAATGGCCTTCTCAAACCAAGTCATAGCTTTCTCTAGCCGTCTTTCACCCCAAAATATGCGGGCAACGGTAACAAACAAGATGGGATCATTGTCCACCTTCTTGATGGCCTCTAAACTTCGAGGTTTCCGGTGTGTACGAGGCTCAAGGTGCCATATGCTTTCGCTCCATAGAAGCCCTGAATTAGGGACTTCTTGAAGGGCCTTCGACATAAGGGACTTTGCCTGGCCGATATTGTTTGCCCGGCGTTCTACCCTGACGCTCTCTGTCCAAAGTTCCGCATTTTTGGGTACAGCAAGTCGAGCACGATCAAGTACAGATCGTGCCTTTACAACAACGCCAGCTTTCTCTTCTAGTCTTGAAGCAAGTAGCCAAAGAGGCACTGATTTCGGACAAGCACGAGTCCCTGTGCCATATGCTTCGCGTGCCTGTTGAAGTTGCCCATCACTCTCATATATCTGCCCTTTAAGCATCCAGAGTTTGTCGGCTTTGGGATACAGCTGTAGGCCCTGATTGACTAGATCCAATGCGTGGTCCTTGTTGCCGAGCTGGCGCTCATATGCCACGCTCTTGATCCAAACCCTGTCTGTCCCTGC